CTCACTCACTCGACTACTCACTCACTTACTCTCCTACTCACTCACTCGACTACTCACTCTCCTACTCACTCAATCACTCGACTACTCACTCACTCACTCTCCTACTCACTCACGCACTCGACTACTCACTCACTCACTCTCCTACTCACTCACACAGCCACTCACTCTCCTACTCACTCACTCGCTCAGTGACTCACACCGCCACTCACTCACTCGACTACTCACTCACTCACTCGACTACTCACTCACTCTCCTACTCACTCACTCACTCGACTACTCACTCACTCACTCTCCTACTCACTCACTCACACCACCACTCACTCTCCTACTCACTCACTCACACCGCCACTTACTCTCCTACTCACTGACTCACTCTCCTACTCACTCACACAGCCACTCACTCTCCTACTCACTCACTCACTCGCTCAGTGACTCACACCGCCACTCACTCACTCGACTACTCACTCACTCGACTACTCAATCACCTACTCACTCACTCACTCGACTACTCAATCACCTACTCACTCACTCACTCGACTATTCACTCACTCACTCTCCTACTCACTCAATCACTCGACTACTCACTCACTCTCCTACTCACTCACTCACTCACACCGCCACTCACTCTCCTACTCACTCACTCACTCGCTCAGTGACTCACACCGCCACTCACTCACTCGACTACTCACTCACTCACTCTCCTACTCACTCACTCACTCACACCGCCACTCACTCTCCTACTCACTCACTCACACCGCCACTTACTTTCCTACTCACTCACTCACTCGACTACTCACTCACTCGACTACTCACTCACTCACCTACTCACTCACTCACTCGACTACTCAATCACCTACTCACTCACTCACACAGCCACTCACTCTCCTACTCACTCACTCACTCGCTCAGTGACTCACACCGCCACTCACTCACTCGACTACTCACTCACTCACTCGACTACTCAATCACCTACTCACTCACTCACTCGACTACTCACTCACTTACTCTCCTACTCACTCACTCGACTACTCACTCACTCTCCTACTCACTCAATCACTCGACTACTCACTCACTCACTCTCCTACTCACTCACTCACTCACACCGCCACTCACTCTCCTACTCACTCACTCACACCACCACTTACTCTCCTACTCACTCACTCACTCGACTACTCACTCACTCACTCTCCTACTCACTCACACAGCCACTCACTCTCCTACTCACTCACTCACTCGCTCAGTGACTCACACCGCCACTCACTCACTCGACTACTCACTCACTCACTCGACTACTCAATCACCTACTCACTCACTCACTCGACTACTCAATCACCTACTCACTCACTCACTCGACTACTCACTCACTCACTCTCCTACTCACTCAATCACTCGACTACTCACTCACTCTCCTACTCACTCACTCACTCACACCGCCACTCACTCTCCTACTCACTCACTCACTCTCCTACTCACTCACTTTCCTACTCACTCACTCGACTACTCACTCACACCACTACTCAAACACTCACTGCCACTGCCACTCACACCTGCAGAAACTCCCTAATAACAGAACTTGCCCCAACAACCTGTTCAGAGGCTACCCGGGGGACCGTTGTCTGTGTGTGGGGAGCGGTGGGTGTAGTGGTTAGCACTCCGCTGTACTGGTGTCGTAGCGGTGTAGTGTAGTAGTGAACATCGCTAGCACTGGGGGAGAGACAAAGGCGGCCGGGCGTGGTGCTGGCCACCCACCCCCTCTGTGTGTGCCACAGTGCCGGTAGCCTTCATAGACGCTGCTGCTGCTACTCGCTACTAACAGCACTTGCCCCTGCAGCCTGCTAGAGGCTACACGGGGGACCTTTGTCTGTCTACCTTCATAGACGCTGCTGCTGCTACTCGCTACTAACAGCACTTGCCCCTACAGCCTGCTGGAGGCTGCACGGGGGACCTTTGTCTGTGTCTACCTTCATAGACGCTGCTGCTGCTGCTACTCGCTACTAACAGCACTTGCCCCTACAGCCTGCTAGAGGCTACACGGGGGACCTTTGTCTGTGTCTACCTTCATAGACGCTGCTGCTACTAACAGCACTTGCCCCTACAGCCTGCTAGAGGCTACACGGGGGACCTTTGTCTGTGGCTACCTTCATAGACGCTGCTGCTACTAACATCACTTGCCCCTACAGCCTGCTAGAGGCTACACGGGGGACCTTTGTCTGTGTCTACCTTCATAGACGCTGCTGCTGCTGCTGCTACTCGCTTCTAACAGCACTTGCCCCTACAGCCTGCTGGAGGCTACACGGGGGGCCTTTGTCTGTGTCTACCTTCATAGACGCTGCTGCTGCTACTAACAGCACTTGCCCCTACAGCCTGCTGGAGGCTACACGGGGGACCTTTGCCTTTGCTTGCCGTGCGTCCCGCCCAGCAGAGCCGACGGTGCTGTTGGCGTCCCCCCTGGCGCTGTCCGGCAGCCACGCCGGCCTGGCGCGGAGACTCCCGCCGGTGCACGCACGCGAGATGGAGCTGGCGAGGCAGAGGCACTTGCGACGTCCACGGTAACGGCGACCGCGGTGTCCACGGTGACGGTGTCCACGGTAACGGTGTCCACGGTAACGGCGACCGCGGTGTCCACGGTGACGGTGTCCACGGTAACGTGATCACGGTGTCCACTGTAACGGTGTCCACGGTAACAGTGTCCACGGTAACGGTGTCCACGGTAACGGTGATCGCGGTGTCCACGGTAACGGTGTCCACGGTAACGGCGACCGCGGTGTCCACGGTAACGGTGTCCACGGTAACGGTGTCCACGGTAACGGCGACCGCGGTGTCCACGGTGACGGTGTCCACGGTAACGTGATCACGGTGTCCACTGTAACGGTGTCCACGGTAACAGTGTCCACGGTAACGGTGTCCACGGTAACGGTGATCGCGGTGTCCACGGTAACGGTGTCCACGGTAACGGCGACCGCGGTGTCCACGGTAACGGTGTCCACGGTAACGGTGTCCACGGTAACGGTGTCCACGGTAACGGTGATCGCGGTGTCCACGGTAACGGTGTCCACGGTAATGGCGATCACGGTGTCCATGGTAACGGTGATCGCGGTTTCCATGGTAATGGTGACCGCGGTGTCCACGGTAACGGTGTCCACGGTAACGGCGATCACGGTGTCCATGGTAACGGTGACCGCGGTGTCCACGGTAACGGCGATTGTCACCACCGCCGCCACCGCCGCCGTCCGCGATTACCTGAAGGCGCTCGCGAGCTGCCCTTGCCCCGACCGCCTGCCAGAGGCCCCTCGGGGCACCTTGGTCTCTGTCTTTGCAGTGCCGCTTACTCCCTGGACCTGCTGGTGACGGACGCCTGCCGCTACTCGTTTTGCTCCATCGTGCAGCGCGTCAACGCCAGCGACAGCTACTCAACGCCACTCGTTTTCCTCACGCCCGGGGGTACACACGCACAGACACACACGCACAGACACACGCGCAGACACACACGCGCAGACACACAGACACACACGCGCAGACACACAGACACACACGCGCAGACACACGCGCAGACACGCAGACACACACGCACAGACACACGCACAGACACACGCGCGCACACACGCGCAGACACGCAGACACACACACGCAGACACACGCGCGCAGACACGCACGCAGACGCGCACGCAGACACACGCAGACACACAGACACACGCACACAGACACATGCGCAGACACACACACGCAGACGCACGCAGACACACGCAGACACACACACGCAGACACACACACACAGACATACACACACGCGCAGACACACGCACGCGCAGACACACGCACGCAGACACACACACACAGACATACACACACGCAGACACACGCACGCAAACACACGCACGCAGACACACACACACAGACACACACACACAGACACACACACACGCAGACACACACACGCAGACACACACACACACAGACATACACACACGCAGACACACACGCAGACATACATACGCAGACACACACGCAGACATACATACGCAGACACACACACAGACACACCACACACGCATACACACAGACACACCACACACGCATACACACACACAGACACACACGCAGACAGACACACACGCAGACATACAGACAGACACACAGACACACACACACAGACATACAGTGAGGGAAAAAAAGTATTTGATCCCCTGCTGATTTTGTACGTTTGCCCACTGACAAAGAAATGATCAGTCTATAATTTTAATGGTAGGTTTATTTGGACAGTTAGAGACAGAATAACAACAACAAAATCCAGAAAAACGCATGTCAAAAATGTTATAAATTGATTTGCATTTTCATGAGGGAAATAAGTATTTGACCCCCTCTCAATCAGAAAGATTTCTGGCTCCCAGGTGTCTTTTATACAGGTAACGAGCTGAGATTAGGAGCACACTCTTAAAGGGAGTGCTCCTAATCTCAGCTTGTTACCTGTATAAAAGACACCTGTCCACAGAAGCAATCAATCAATCAATCAGATTCCAAACTCTCCACCATGGCCAAGACCAAAGAGCTCTCCAAGGATGTCAGGGACAAGATTGTAGACCTACACAAGGCTGGAATGGGCTACAAGACCATTGCCAAGCAGCTTGGAGGATCTTGTCAATGATCTCAAGGCAGCTGGGACCATAGTCACCAAGAAAACAATTGGTAACACACTACGCCGTGAAGGACTGAAATCCTGCAGAGCCCGCAAGGTCCCCCTGCTCAAGAAAGCACATATACATGCCCGTCTGAAGTTTGCCAATGAACATCTGAATGATTCAGAGGACAACTGGGTGAAAGTGTTGTGGTCAGATGAGACCAAAATGGAGCTCTTTGGCATCAACTCAACTTGCCGTGTTTGGAGGAGGAGGAATGCTGCCTATGACCCCAAGAACACCATCCCCACCGTCAAACATGGAGGTGGAAACATTATGCTTTGGGGGTGTTTTTCTGCTAAGGGGACAGGACAACTTCACCGCATCAAAGGGACGATGGACGGGGCCATGTACCGTCAAATCTTGAGTGAGAACCTCCTTCCATCAGCCAGGGCATTGAAAATGGGTCGTGGATGGGTATTCCAGTATGACAATGACCCAAAAGTCACATAGGTGAAAATAAAATAACAAAAAATCACGACGTTTCGGCCACAACACAAGCGGCCTTCATCAGGTGAAGGGACGAGACTGTCTGGAGGACAGCGCTGGAGTGGGAGAAGCCACGCTTAGATCACGACGCCTGTGTGTGTCTGTGTGTGTGTCTGTGTGTCTGTCCGTCTGCTACAGCAGAGGTGTAGGGAATTCCAACAAGACCTACATCTCTGCTTTATTGACCTGGTCAAGGCCTATGATACCATCAGTAGGCCTGGGCTCTGGGTCGTTCTTCGTGCTTTTGGAGTACCTGACCCTCTGCTCACGATCATTAAGGACCTTCATGATGGTGAGCGGGCCCGGGTAAAACTACGTGGCCGGGAGTCAGAGCCATTCCCTGTACACCTTGGGGTGCGACAGGGATGTCCTCTGGCTCCCACATTATTTAACATCTATTTTGACCACGTAGTTCGTGAAGCCTTCAATAGCTGTACCGGGGGAATCTCCATATGGTACAGATATAATGGGAGGCTAATCGATGCCCGGGTGCGGTCAAGGGATGGCTCCCTATTGCTCAACCACGTTATGTATGCTGATGACTTGGTAATAGCTGCTCAGTCAGAGGAGGAGTTGGAGACGCTGCTGCTGAGACTGGAGCGTGCCACTAAGAGGTGGGGCCTTACCATCAGCCCCACCAAAACTAAGCACCTGCCTGGGTATTTTGTACCATCGGACACTCCACCCCCACAACTCCCAATCGGTGATGGGGCAGTTGTGGAGAGAGTGGAGAGTTTCCCATACCTGGGCAGTGTGCTTATGACTGGCTCCAGTTTAACAGCAGAGGTCTCACTCCGAATCAGTCGAGCGGCAATATCTTTTCATCGGTTGCGTAACGCTGTGTGGAAGCTACCTGGTCTGTCGCTCCGCACTAAGCTTCAGGTCTTCTCGGCCACGGTCATTCCCTCCCTTCTCTACGCTTGCGAAACGTGGACCCCCCTAATGGAACATCTTCGCCGGTTAGAAACATTTAGGCTGGCCTGCCTACGATCCATCCTGGGTTTAACCAGACTGGATTGTGTGAGGAGCTCACAAATCCTTGAAAGATCTGGGCAGGGTCCCATCGGTGAGCTCCTCCGGCAGGCAAGGCTGCGATGGCTGGGTCATGTAGCCCGCATGCCCAGCCACCGCATGCTGAAACAGCTTTTGTTTGGCCGGATTGAGGGGGCTAAGCGGGCGCGGCACGGGCTAGAGAAGAGATGGAGTGATGTGGTACAGGAGGACGTGGAGCTGAGTGGACTTGCCCATGACTGGTACCAGCGGTGTCAAGATCGGCCTCTGTGGAGGAGGCTCGTGAAGGATGCTACTGGGCAGTTGGAGGCAGTCGCCCTCCAACAACAACGGAGGGCGGAGGAGCGACGCTCACAACAGCGAGCGGAGCGCCGGGTGGCTAAAGCACAGCAGGTTGGCACAGTAGGGGGCACAGGTGGTGCATCAGCCAGTCATCTCAGTCAGTCGACCCGTGGCACCTGGGTCTGCCCCGTGACCTCCTGCCAGCGGGCGTTTGACACTTCACGTGGCCTCAGGGTGCACATAGCCTGGCACAAGCGTCGTGGTGACGTCACCGCCACTTAGTGGCGAATGGCGGTTGTTGTTGTTGTTGTGTGTCTGTGTGTGTGTGTGGTGTGTCTGTGTGTGTGTGTGTGTCTGTGTGTGTCTGTCTGTGTGTGTGTCTGTGTGTGTGTGTCTGTGTGTCTGTGTCTGTGTGTGTGTGTGTCTGTGTGTGTGTGTCTGTGTGTGTGTGTCTGTGTGGTGTGTCTGTGTGTGTGTGGTGTGTGTGTGTGTGGTGTCTGTGTGTGTGTGGTGTGTCTGTGTGTGATGTGTCTGTGTGGTGTGTGTGTGTGTGTCTGTGTGTGTGTCTGTGTGTGTGTGTGGTGTGTGTGTGTGTCTGTGTGTGTGTGGTGTGTCTTTGTGTGTGTGTGCAGACAAGCTGCACATGCAGGTGGAGCTAGTGATGGGGGACCTGTGTCTGTGTGTGTGTCTGTGTGTGTGTGTCTGTGTGTGTGTCTGTGTGTGTGTGTCTGTGTGTGTGTGGTGTGTGTGGTGTGTGTGTGTGTGTGTCTGTGTGTGTGTGTGCAGACAAGCTGCACGTGCAGGTGGAGCTGGTGACGGGGGAAGCCTCCGCAGTGCAGACGACGTTCCGCCTGCCGCTGAAGCAGTGGGTCCGCCTGCACCTGGCACTCGACGATCGGCAGGTGTGTGTGTGTGCACGTGTGTGTGTGTGCACGTGTGTGTGCGCGTGTGTGTGTGTGTGTGCGAGTGTGTGCGCGTGTGTGTGTGCTTGTGTTAGTGTGTGTGTGTGCGCGCGTGTGTGTGCGCGTGTGTGTGCGTGTGTGCATACATGCTTGCATGTGTGAGTGTGTGCGTGTGTGCGTGCGTGTGTCCCTGGTGGTCCCCCTCTTTAAGAAGGGGGACCGCACAGACTGTAACAACTACAGGGGCATCTCACTCCTCAGTGTGCCGGGAAAGGTCCTGGCAAGGATTATTCTTCAACATCGCCTTGCCAGGCACGCTGAGGAGAGGCTTGCGGAGCCCCAATGCGGTTTCAGGAAAGGGCGGTCCTGCACAGATGCCATATTTTCTGTCCGTCTGCTACGGCAGAGGTGTAGGGAATTCCAGCAAGACCTACATCTCTGCTTCATTGACCTGGTCAAGGCCTATGATACCATCAGTAGGCCTGGGCTCTGGGTTGTTCTTCGTGCTTTCGGAGTCCCTGACCCGCTGCTCACGATCATTAAGGACCTTCATGATGGTGAGCGGGCCCGGGTAAAACTACGTGGCCGGGAGTCGGAGCCATTCGCTGTACACCTTGGGGTGCGACAGGGATGTCCTCTGGCTCCAACATTATTTAACGTCTATTTTGACCACGTAGTTCGTGAAGCCTTCAATAGCTGTACCAGAGGAATTTCCATCTGGTACAGATACAGTGGGAGGCTGATCGATGCCCTGCTGCGGTCAAGGGATGGCTCCCTATTGGTCAATCACGTTATGTATGCCGACGACTTGGTAATTGCCGCTCACTCAGAGGAGGAGTTGGAGACGCTGCTGCTGAACCTGCAGCGTGCTACTAAGAGGTGCGGCCTTACCAAACTAAGAACCTGCCTGGGTATTTTGTACCATCGGACACTCTACCCCCACAACTCCCAATTGGTGATGGGGCAGTTGTGGAGAGAGTGGAGAGTTTCCCATACCTGGGCAGTGTGCTTATGACCGGCTCCGGTTTGATAGCAGAGGCCTTACTTCGAATCAGTCGAGCAGCAATATCTTTTCATCGGTTGCGTAACGCTGAGTGGAAGCTACCTGGTCTGTAGCTCCGCACGAAGTTTCAGGTCTTCTCGGCCACGGTCATTCCCTCCCTTCTCTACGCTTGCGAAACGTGGACCCCTTAATGGAGCATCTTCGCCGGTTAGAAACATTCAGGCTGACCTGCCTACGATCCATCCTGGGTTTAACCAGGCTGGATTGTGTGAGGAGCTCACACATCCTTGAAAGATCTGAGCAAGGTCCCATCGGTGAGCTCCTCCGGCAGGCAAGGCTGCATTGGTTGGGCCATGTAGCCCGCATGGCCAGCCACCGCATGCCGAAACAGCTTTTGTTCGGCCGGATTGAGGGAGCTAAACAGACGCGGCACGGGCTAGAGAAGAGATGGAGTGATGTGGTACAGGAGGACGTGGAGCTGAGTGGACTTGGCGATGACTGGTACCAGCGGTGTCAAGATCGGCCTCTGTGGAGGAGGCTCGTGAAGGATGCTACTGGGCAGTTGGAGGCAGTCGCCCTCCAACAACAACGGAGGGCGGAGGAGCGACGCTCACAACAACGAGCGGAGCGCCGGGTGGCTAAAGCACAGCAAGTTGGCACAGTAGGGGGCACAGGTGGTGCATCAGCCAGTCATCTCAGTCTGCCCCGTGACCTCCTGCCAGCGGGCGTTCGACACTTCACGTGGCCTCAAGGTGCACATAGCCTGGCACTGCCCCAGTAGCCTCAAGGTGCACCTAGTCTGGCACTGCCCAGTAGCCTCAAGGTGCACCTAGCCTGGCACTGCCCCCAGTAGCCTCAAGGTGCACCTAGCCTGGCACTGCCCAGTAGCCTCAAGGTGCACCTAGCCTGGCACTTGCCCCAGTAGCCTCAAGGTGCACCTAGCCTGGCACTGGCCCTGTAGCCTCAAGGTGCACCTAGCCTGGCACTGCCCAGTAGCCTCAAGGTGCACCTAGCCTGGCACTGCCCAGTAGCCTCAAGGTGCATCTAGCCTGGCACTTGCCCCAGTAGCCTCAAGGTGCACCTAGCCTGGCACTTTCCCCAGTAGCCTCAAGGTGCACCTAGCCTGGCACTGGCCCTGTAGCCTCAAGGTGCACCTAGCCTGGCACTGGCCCTGTAGCCTCAAGGTGCACCTAGCCTGGCACAGCCCAGTAGCCTCAAGGTGCACCTGGCACTGGCCCCAGTAGCCTCAAGGTGCACCTAGCCTGGCACTGCCCAGTAGCCTCAATGTGCACCTAGCCTGGCACTGCCCCCAGTAGCCTCAAGGTGCACCTAGCCTGGCACTGCCCCCAGTAGCCTCAAGGTGCACCTAGCCTGGCACTGCCCCGAGTAGCCTCAAGGTGCACCTAGCCTGGCACTGGCCCCAGTAGCAGCAGGGATGGTGTTGATCTTGATGGTGATGATGGTGCTGAGATGTTGATCATGATGGTGATGATAGTGATGGTGGTGATGTTGATGCTGATAATGTTGATGGTATTGATGGTGATGATGATGCTGATAGTGTTGATGGTGATGATTATGGGGGTGGTGATGCTGATAATGTTGATGGTGATGGTGATGATGGTGATGATAGTGATGGTGGTGATGTTAATGATGCTGATAGTATTGATGGTGATGATGGTGATGATGATGGTGGTGCCTGTGATGTTGATGGTGATGATGGTGATGATGCTGATAATGTTGATGGTGATGGTGATGATGATGGTGGTGCTGATGATGTAGATGGTGATGATGATGGTGGTGGTGATGTCTTGCAGATGACCATATCCATCGCGTATGGGAATCACTTGGAATTTTCTAAAGATATGGTTCACTTGTGAGTAGCATCATCATCATCATCAACATCATCAGCATCATCAACATCAGCATCATCATCAACATCACCATCATCAACATCATCACCATCATCACCATCAACATCATCATCACCATCATCATCACCATCACTATCATCACCATCATCAACATCACCATCATCATCAACATCACCATCATCATCACCATCAACATCATCAACATCATCACCATCATCATCACCACCATCATCATCACCACCATCATCACCATCACCATCATCAACATCACCATCATCATCATCACCATCATCAACATCACCATCATCAACATCACCACCATCATCATCACCACCATCATCAACATCACCATCATCAACATCACCATCACCACCATCATCAACATCATCAACATCACCATCACCACGATCATCATCATCACCACCACCATCATCAACACCATCATCATCACCACCACCATCACCATCATCATCACCACCATCATCATCATCATCCCCACCATCATCACCACCATCATCAACATCACCCTCATCAACATCACCCTCATCAACATCACCATCACCACCATCATCAACATCACCATCATCAACATCACCATCATCAACATCACCCTCATCAACATCATCAACATCAACATCACCATCATCAACATCAACATCACCATCATCAACATCACCATCATCAACATCACCGTCATCAACATCACCATCACCATCACGACCATCATCATCACCATCATCAACATCACCCTCATCAACATCACCATCACCATCACCACCATCATCAACATCACCATCATCAACATCACCATCATCAACATCACCATCATCAACATCACCCTCATCAACATCATCAACATCAACATCACCGTCATCAACATCACCGTCATCAACATCACCATCACCATCACGACCATCATCATCACCATCATCAACATCACCCTCATCAACATCACCATCATCACCCTCATCAACATCACCATCATCAACATCACTCTCATCAACATCAACATCACCATCATCAACATCACCATCATCAACATCACCATCATCAACATCACCATCATCAACATCACCATCATCAACATCACCCTCATCAACATCACCATCATCAACATCACCCTCATCAACATCATCAACATCAACATCACCATCATCAACATCACCATCATCAACATCACCCTCATCAACATCACCATCATCAACATCACCATCATCAACATCACCCTCATCAACATCATCAACATCACCATCATCAACATCAACATCACGACCATCATCATCACCATCATCAACATCACCCTCATCAACATCACCATCATCAACATCACCATCATCAACATCACCATCATCAACATCACCGTCATCAACATCACCATCACAACCATCATCATCACCATCATCAACATCACCCTCATCAACATCACCATCATCAATATCACCCTCATCAACATCACCATCATCAACATCACCCTCATCAACATCATCAACATCACCATCACCCTCATCAACATCATCATCATCACCATCATCAACATCAACATCACCATCATCATCACCCTCATCAACATCACCATCATCAACAACACCGTCATCAACTTCACCCTCATCAACATCACCATCATCAACATCACCATCAACATCATCACCCTCATCAACATCACCACCATCAACATCATCAACATCACCATCATCAACATCACCATCATCAACTTCACCCTCATCAACATCACCCTCATCATCATCACCCTCATCAACATCACCATCATCAACATCACCACCATCAACATCACCATCATCAACATCACCCTCATCAACATCACCCTCATCAACATCACCATCATCAACATCACCCTCATCACCATCACCACCATCAACATCACCATCATCACCATCAACATCACCCTCATCAACATCACCACCATCAACATCATCATCATCAACATCACCCTCATCACCATCACCCTCATCACCATCACCACCATCAACATCACCATCATCAACTTCACCCTCATCAACATCACCACCATCAACATCACCCTCATCAACATCACCCTCATCAACATCACCACCATCAACATCACCCTCATCAACATCACCATCATCAACATCATCCTCATCAACATCATCCTCATCAACATCACCATCATCAACATCACCATCATCAACATCACCACCATCAACATCACCATCATCAACATCACCCTCATCAACACCAACACCATCATCAACATCATCAACACAAACATCACCCTCATCACCCTCATCACCATCACCACCATCAACATCACCATCATCACCATCAACATCACCCTCATCAACATCACCACCATCAACATCACCATCGTCAACATCACCCTCATCAACATCATCAACATCACCATCGTCAACATCACCCTCATCAACATCATCAACATCACCATCACCACCATCACCATCATCAACATCACCATCACCCTCATCAACATCATCAACATCACCATCATCACCCTCATCACCATCACCCTCATTATCATCACCCTCATCAACATCACCATCATCACCATCACCATCATCACCATCACCATCATCAACATCACCATCATCACCCTCATCAACATCACCATCATCAACATCACCATCATCAACATCACCACCATCAACATCACCATCATCAACATCACCCTCATCAACACCAACACCATCATCAACATCATCAACACAAACATCACCCTCATCACCCTCATCACCATCACCACCATCAACATCACCATCATCACCATCAACATCACCCTCATCAACATCACCACCATCAACATCACCATCGTCAACATCACCCTCATCAACATCATCAACATCACCATCACCATCACGACCATCATCATCACCATCATCAACATCACCCTCATCAACATCACCATCATCACCCTCATCAACATCACCATCATCAACATCACTCTCATCAACATCAACATCACCATCATCAACATCACCATCATCAACATCACCATCATCAACATCACCATCATCAACATCACCATCATCAACATCACCCTCATCAACATCACCATCATCAACATCACCCTCATCAACATCATCAACATCAACATCACCATCATCAACATCACCATCATCAACATCACCCTCATCAACATCACCATCATCAACATCACCATCATCAACATCACCCTCATCAACATCATCAACATCACCATCATCAACATCACCATCATCAACATCACCATCATCAACATCACCTTCATCAACATCATCAACATCACCATCATCAACATCAACATCACGACCATCATCATCACCATCATCAACATCACCCTCATCAACATCACCATCATCAACATCACCATCATCAACATCACCATCATCAACATCACCGTCATCAACATCACCATCACAACCATCATCATCACCATCATCAACATCACCCTCATCAACATCACCATCATCAATATCACCCTCATCAACATCACCATCATCAACATCACCCTCATCAACATCATCAACATCACCATCACCCTCATCAACATCATCATCATCATCACCATCATCAACATCATCATCATCATCACCCTCATCAACATCACCATCATCAACAACACCGTCATCAACTTCACCCTCATCAACATCACCATCATCAACATCACCATCAACATCATCACCCTCATCAACATCACCACCATCAACATCATCAACATCACCATCATCAACATCACCATCATCAACTTCACCCTCATCAACATCACCCTCATCATCATCACCCTCATCAACATCACCATCATCAACATCACCACCATCAACATCACCATCATCAACATCACCCTCATCAACATCACCCTCATCAACATCACCATCATCAACATCACCCTCATCAACATCACCACCATCAACATCATCATCATCAACATCACCCTCATCACCATCACCCTCATCACCATCACCACCATCAACATCACCATCATCACCATCAACATCACCCTCATCAACATCACCACCATCAACATCATCATCATCATCATCAACATCACCCTCATCACCATCACCCTCATCACCATCACCACCATCAACATCACCATCATCACCATCAACTTCACCCTCATCAACATCACCACCATCAACATCACCCTCATCAACATCACCCTCATCAACATCACCACCATCAACATCACCCTCATCAACATCACCATCATCAACATCATCCTCATCAACATCATCCTCATCAACATCACCATCATCAACATCACCATCATCAACATCACCACCATCAACATCACCATCATCAACATCACCCTCATCAACACCAACACCATCATCAACATCATCAACACAAAACATCACCCTCATCACCCTCATCACCATCACCACCATCAACATCACCATCATCACCATCAACATCACCCTCATCAACATCACCACCATCAACATCACCATCGTCAACATCACCCTCATCAACATCATCAACATCACCATCGTCAACATCACCCTCATCAACATCATCAACATCACCATCACCACCATCACCATCATCAACATCACCATCACCCTCATCAACATCATCAACATCACCATCATCACCCTCATCACCATCACCCTCATTATCATCACCCTCATCAACATCACCATCATCACCATCACCATCATCACCATCACCATCATCACCATCACCATCATCACCCTCATCAACATCACCATCATCAACATCACCATCATCAACATCACCACCATCAACATCACCATCATCAACATCACCCTCATCAACACCAACACCATCATCAACATCATCAACACAAACATCACCCTCATCACCCTCATCACCATCACCACCATCAACATCACCATCATCACCATCAACATCACCCTCATCAACATCACCACCATCAACATCACCATCGTCAACATCACCCTCATCAACATGACCATCACCAACATCACCACCATCACCATCATCAACATCACCATCACCCTCATCAACATCATCAACATCACCATCATCACCCTCATCACCATCACCCTCATTATCATCACCCTCATCAACATCACCATCATCACCATCACCATCATCACCATCACCATCATCACCATCACCATCATCACCATCATCACCCTCATCAACATCACCATCATCAACATCACCATCATCAACATCACCACCATCAACATCACCATCATCAACATCACCATCAACATCACCCTCATCAACATCATCAACATCAACATCACCCTCATCAACATCACCAACATCAACATCACCATCATCACCCTCATCAACATCACCATCATCAACATCACCATCATCAACATCACCACCATCAACATCACCATCATCAACATCACCCTCATCAACACCAACACCATCATCAACATCATCAACACAAACATCACCCTCATCACCCTCATCACCATCACCACCATCAACATCACCCTCATCACCATCAACATCACCCTCATCAACATCATCAACATCACCACCATCAACATCACCCTCATCAACATCACCATCATCAACATCACCCTCATCAACATCACCCTCATCACCATCACCCTCATTATCATCACCCTCATCAACATCATCAACATCACCCTCATCAACATCACCACCATCAACATCACCATCATCAACATCACCATCATCAACATCACCATCATCAACAACACCCTCATCAACATCATCAACATCATCAACATCACCATCATCAACATCACCATCATCAACATCACCCTCATCACCATCACCACCATCAACATCACCATCATCACCATCAACATCACCCTCATCAACATCACCATCGTCAACATCACCCTCATCAACATCATCAACATCAACATCATCAACATCACCACCATCAACATCACCCTCATCAACATCAACATCATCAACATCACCACCATCAACATCACCCTCATCACCCTCATCAACATTACCATCATCAACATCACCCTCATCAACATCATCAACATCAACATCATCAACATCACCACCATCAACATCACCCTCATCACCATCATCAACATTACCATCATCAACATCACCCTCATCAACATCACCCTCATCAACATCACCATCATCAACATCACCATCATCAACATCATCAACATCACCATCATCAACATCACCCTCATCAACATCACCCTCATCAACATCACCACCATCAACATCACCATCATCAACATCACGACCATCAACATCACCCTCATCAACATCACCCTCATCAACATCACCACCATCAACATCACCATCATCAACATCACCATCATCAACATCACCATCATCAACATCACCATCATCAACATCACCACCATCAACATCACCCTCATCAACATCACCATCATCAACATCACCATCATCAACATCACCATCACCCTCATCAACATCACCCTCATCAACATCACCATCATCCACATCACCATCATCAACATCACCACCATCAACATCACCCTCATCAACATCACCATCATCAACATCACCATCATCAACATCACCCTCATCAACATCACCATCATCAACATCACCATCATCAACATCACCACCATCAACATCACCCTCATCAACATCACCATCATCAACATCACCATCATCAACATCACCATCACCCTCATCAACATCACCATCATCAACATCACCATCACCCTCATCAACATCACCCTCATCAACATCACCATCATCAACATCACCATCATCAACATCACCACCATCAACATCACCCTCATCAACATCACCATCATCAACATCACCATCATCAACATCAACATCATCAACATCACCATCATCAACATCATCAACATCACCCTCATCACCAGTCCTACATCTCACCATGTCTCTCCATGTCCCCCCCACCCCGTGCCCCCCCCGTGCCCCCCCGTGCCCCCCCGTGCCCCCCCCCCGTGCCCCCCCCGTTGCCCCCCCCCGTGCCCCAGCTGGCCACGTTCCGTGTCCCATGACGACACGGCGGGGCTCCTCATGGTCGGAGGGGGGCAGCACACGCAAGGCATTGTGGGATACGTCAGTCGCGTCCGCCTGTACCGCACCCGCAGCGTCCCCATGGAAACGGTGACGCACGCACACACACACACAGCTGCCCCGGGTAACCCCTGCCTGGCTGTAGGGGCAAGTGTTGTTACACACTCACTCACCCACACACTCACCCACACACTCACTCACACACTCACCCACACACTCACACTCACCCACACACTCACCCACACACTCACCCACACACTCACCCACACACTCACCCACACACTCACTCACACACTCACCCACACACTCACACTCACCCACACACTCACCCACACACTCACCCATACACTCACCTACACACTCACACACTCACCCACACACTCACCCACACACACTCACCCACACACTCACCCACACACTCACCCACACACTCACCCACACACTCACCCATACACTCACCCACACACTCACCCACACACTCACCCACACACTCACCCACACACTCATCCACTCAAACTCACCCACTCACACACTCACTCACCCACACACTCACACACTCACCCACACACTCACCCACACACACACTCACACACTCACTCACCCACACACTCACCCATACACTCACACACTCACTCACCCACACACACACACTCACCCACACACTCACCCACACACACACTCACCCACACACTCACCCACACACTCACCCACACACTCACCCACACACTCATCCACTCAAACTCACCCACTCACACACTCACTCACCCACACACTCACACACTCACCCACACACTCACCCACACACTCACCCACACACTCACCCACTCACCCACACACTCACCCACACACTCACCCACCCACACACACTCACCCACACACTCACTCACCCACACACTCACCCACACACCCACCCACACACACTCACCCACACACTCACCCACACACTCACCCACTCACCCACACACTCACCCACACACTCACCCACTCACCCACACACTCACCCACTCACTCACCCACACACTCACCCACTCACTCACCCACACACTCACCCACACACCCACCCACACACACTCACCCACCCACTCACCCACACACTCACCCACACACCCACCCACACACACTCACCCACACACTCACCCACTCACCCACACACTCACCCACACACTCACCCACTCACCCACACACTCACCCACTCACTCACCCACACACTCACCCACTCACTCACCCACACACTCACCCACACACCCACCCACACACACTCACCCACACACTCACTCACCCACACACTCACACACTCACCCAAACACTCACCCACACACTCACTCACCCACACACTCACACACTCACCCACACACTCACCCACACACTCACCCACACACTCACCCACACACTCACCCACACACCCACCCACACACACTCACCCACACACTCACTCACCCACACACTCACACACTCACTCACTCACCCACACACACACTCACCCACACACTCACTCACTCACCCACACACTCACTCACCCACACACTCACACACTCACCCACACACTCACCCACACACTCACCCACGCACCCACCCACACACACTCACCCACACACTCACTCACCCACACACTCACACACCCACCCACACACACTCACCCACACACCCACCCACACACACTCACCCACACACTCACTCACCCACACACTCACTCACCCACACACTCACACTCACCCACACACTCACCCACACACTCACTTACCCACACACTCACACTTACCCACACTCACCCACACTCAAACTCACCCACCCCGAGCCAGTGGTAGCCATTCCACGTTCCTATGGCAGATGAGGTGGGTAAGTAAATCCATAGTACAGCCACTGTTGGTTTCTTCCCACACAACGTGATACCTGTTTTATCCACCCCATAGGGAGGGATGGTGGTGATGTTGGTGGTGGTGATGTGTGTGATGTTGTTGATGGTGATGATGTTGTTGATGGTGTTGATGGTGTTGATGTTGTTGTTGATGGTGATGATGTTGTTGATGGTGATGATGGTGATGATGGTGATGATGTTGTTGATGGTGATGATGTTGTTGATGTTGTTGATGGTGTTGTTGATGTTGTTGATGTTGTTGATGGTGTTGATGTTGTTGTTGATGTTGTTGTTGATGTTGTTGTTGATGTTGTTGTTGATGGTGATGATGTTGTTGATGTTGTTTTTGTTGATGTTGTAAATGTTGTTGATGGTGATGATGTTGTTGATGTTGTTGATGGTGTTGATGTTGTTGATGTTGTTGTTGATGTTGTTGATGTTGTTGATGGTGATGATGGTGTTGATGGTGATGATGTTGTTGATGTTGTTGATGTTGTTGTTGTTGATGGTGTTGATGTTGTTGATGTTGTTGTTGATGTTGTTGTTGATGTTGTTGATGTTGTTGATGGTGTTGATGTTGTTGATAGTGTTGATGTTGTTGACGTTGTTGTTGATGTTGTTGATGGTGTTGATGGTGATGATGGTGATGATGTTGTTGATGGTGATGTTGTTGATGGTGTTGATGGTGTTGATGGTGTTGATGGTGATGATGTTGTTGATGGTGATGATGTTGTTGATGGTGATGTTGTTGATGTTGTTGATGTTGTTGATGGTGATGATGATGTTGTTGATGTTGTTGTTGATGTTGTTGTTGATGGTGTTGTTGATGATGTTGTTGATGTTGTTGATGTTGTTGATGGTGTTGATGTTGTTGTTGTTGATGGTGATGATGGTGATGATGTTGTTGATGTTGATGGTGATATTGATGCTGTTGATGTTGTTGATGTTGTTGTTGATGTTGTTAATGTTTTTGATGTTGTTGATGTTGTTGATGGTGGTAGGACGGGTGGCTGGACCCAGTGGAGCGTGACATTGCGACGTTTGAGAACTCCTGCCAGCAGCTCCACCTTGCACTCCCCTCACTGCAGCAGCAGCAGCAGCAGCAACAACACGTGGACACTCACCCAGCCACTAGCCACGGTGGGTGGGTGAGTGGGTGGGCGAGTGGGTGAGTGGGTGGGCAAGTGGGCGGGTGGGCGGGCGGGTGGGCGGGCGAGTGGGTGGGTGGTGGGTGGGCGCTTGGGGGATGCGTGGGTGGGTGGACGAGTGGGTGGGTGATGGATGGGTGAGTGGGTGGGCGAGTGGGTGAGTGAGTTTGTTGGTGCAGACTGACGCACAGGGACAGCTGCCACTAGGGGTGCCCCTAGGCTAGAGATCCACACAGCAGCAGCTGTCGCCCCACCTATAGCCAGAGTGGTGAAGTAAGCGCCGCGTTCCCATTGGTCGGCGTCGCTGTCTCACAACCTACAGGCAGCTGCCCGGACGCCTACGCCCGCCTGTTCGCTCGCAGGACCCCGCCGGGGACATGTGACGCGCGGGAGCCAATTGCCAAGCGGCACAAGGCCCTGGTCGCCCTGCTCGGTCGCCGGGCCTACGGTCGCCGTGGCAACGAGGGTAAGGTCGTCGCCACGGCAACGGGGGGGGGGGGGGGGGTTGTCGCCACGGCAACGGGGGCAGGCAGTCGCCATGGCGGTACGGCCGGCCAATCGGGGAGCCCCAGTGATTAACACTGAACCCTATGGGAGTGAGTCCCAGTGATTGACACTGAACCCTATGGGAGTGAGTCTCAGTGATCAACACTGAACCCTATGGGAGTGAGCCCCAGTGATTGACATTGAACCCTATGGGAGTGAGTCCCAGTGATTAACACTGAACCCTATGGGAGTGAGCCCCAGTGATTAACACTGAACCCTATGGGAGTGAGCCCCAGTGATTAACACTGAACCCTATGGGAGTGAGCCCCAGTGATTAACACTGAACCCTATGGGAGTGAGCCCCAGTGATTAACACTGAACCCTATGAGAGTGTGCCCCAGTGATTAACACTGAACCCTATGGGAGTGAGTCCCAGTGATTAACACTGAACCCTATGGGAGTGAGCCCCAGTGATTAACACCGAACCCTATGGGAGTGAGCCTCAGTGATTAACACTGAACCCTATGGGAGTGAGCCCCAGTGATTGACACTGAACCCTATGGGAGTGAGTCCCAGTGATTAACACTGAACCCTATGGGAGTGAGTCCCACTGATCAACACTGAACCCTATGGGAGTGAGCCCCAGTGATTAACACTGAACCCTATGGGAGTGAGTCCCAGTGATTAACACTGAACCCTATGGGAGTGAGTCCCACTGATCAACACTGAACCCTATGGGAGTGAGCCCCAGTGATTAACACTGAACCCTATGAGAGTGAGCCCCAGTGATTGACACTGAACCCTATGGGAGTGAGCCCCAGTGATCAACACTGAACCCTATGGGAGTGAGTCCCAGTGATTAACACTGAACCCTATGGGAGTGAGTCCCACTGATCAACACTGAACCCTATGGGAGTGAGCCCCAGTGATTAACACTGAACCCTATGAGAGTGAGCCCCAGTGATTAACACTGAACCCTATGGGAGTGAGTCTCAGTGATTGACACTGAACCCTATGGGAGTGAGTCCCAGTGATTAACACTGAACCCTATGGGAGTGAGTCCCAGTGATTAACACTGAACCCTATGGGAGTGAGCCCCAGTGATTAACACTGAACCCTATCGGAGTGAGCCCCAGTGATTAACACTGAACCCTATGAGAGTGAGCCCCAGTGATTGACACTGAACCCTATGGGAGTGAGTCCCAGTGATTAACACTGAACCCTATGGGAGTGAGTCACAGTGATTAACACTGAACCCTATGGGAGTGAGTCCCAGTGATCAACACTGAACCCTATGGGAGTGAGTCCCAGTCATTAACACTGAACCCTATGGGAGTGAGTCTCAGTGATTAACACTGAACCCTATGGGAGTGAGCCCCAGCGATTAACACTGAACCCTATGGGAGTGAGTCCCAGTGATTAACACTGAACCCTATGGGAGTGAGTCCCAGTGATTAACACTGAACCCTATGGGAGTGAGCCCCAGTGATTAACACTGAACCCTATGGGAGTGAGTCCCAGTGATTAACACCGAACCCTATGGGAGTGAGCTCCAGTGATTAACACTGAACCCTATAGGAGTGAGCCCCAGTGATTAACACTGAACCCTATGGGAGTGAGCCCCAGTGATTAACATTGCACCCTATGGGAGTGAGCCCCAGTGATTGACACTGAACCCTATGGGAGTGAGCTCCAGTGATTAACACTGAACCCTATGGGAGTGAGTCCCAGTGATTAACACTGAACCCTATGGGAGTGAGCCCCAGTGATTAACATTGAACCCTATGGGGGTGAGCCCCAGTGATTGACACTGAACCCTATGGGAGTGAGCCCCAGTGATTAACACTGAGTCCTATGTCTTCCCGTACAGATCTCCTGATGAGCACCATTCCTATGGCCAAGGATTTGTACATCCTGGCCAGGTCTCGCCTGATTGGACAGAAACGGCCAGGCACGCTCGTCCCCCATTGGCTGCGGCAGGCCGGTTGCCTGGGGCAACCCCAAGCCCTCTTCCTGTTGGCCGTGGCCTATCAGGTGGGACTGGGCGTCCCAGCCAATCAGACGGAGGTGAGCGCTTGTGCGAACACTCGCCCTAACACTGGCGTCTCTCCGTGTCTCACCGTGTCCCCCCGTGTCTCCCCGTGTGTCTCCCCGTGTGTCTCCCCGTGTCTCACTGTGTCTCTCCGTGTCTCACCGTGTCTCACCATGTCTCACTGTGTCTCCCCGTGTCTCACCGTGTCTCACCGTGTCTCACCGTGTCTCACCGTGTCTCACCGTGTCTCCCCGTGTCTCACCGTGTCTCACCGTGTCTCCCCGTGTCTCACCATGTCTCACCGTGTCTCACCGTGTCTCACCGTGTCTCATGTCTCCGTGTCTCCCCGTGTCTCACCGTGTCTCACCGTGTCTCCCCGTGTCTCCCCGTGTCTCACCGTGCCTCACCGTGTCTCATGTCTCCATGTCTCTCGCATGTCCCCCCGTGTCTCCCCGTGTCTAATTGTGTCCCCCCGTGTCCCCCCTTGTCCCCGTGTCTCCTGCATGTCCCCCCGTGTCTCCCCGTGTCTCACTGTGTCCACCCGTGTCCCCCTCGTCCCCCCGTGTCTCACCGTGTCTCACCGTCTCTCACCATGTCTCCCCGTGTCTCACTGTGTCCACTCATGTCTCCCCGTGTCTCCCCATGTCCCCGTGTCCCCTTGCCCTGTGTCTCCGTGTCTCTGTGTCTCTCTCTCCCCGTGTCTCCCCGTGTCTCCCCGTGCCTCACCATGTCTCACCATGTCTCACCGTGTCTCCCCGTGTCTCACCGTGTCTCCCTGTGTCTCCCTGTGTCTCCCCGTGTATCACCGTGTCTCACTGTGTCTCACCGTATCTCACCGTGTCTCCCCGTGTCTCCCCGTGTCTCACTGTGTCTCCCCGTGTCTCACCGTGTCTCCCCGTGTCTCACCCTGTGTCTCCCCGTGTCTCACCGTGTCTCCCCGTGTCTCACCGTGTCTTCCCGTGTCCCCCCGTGTCTCCCCGTGTCTCCCATGTCTCACCGTGTCCCCCCGTGTCTCCCCGTGTCTCACTGTGTCTCACCGTGTCTCACCGTGTGTCTCTGTGTCTCACCGTGTCTCCCCGTGTCCCCCCGTATCTCCCCGTGTCTCCCCGTGTGTCTCACCGTGTCCCCCCGTGTCCCCCCGTGTCTCCCCGTGTGTCTCCCCGCGTCTCCCCGTGTCTCACCGTGTCTCACTGTGTCTCACCATGTCTCCCCGTGTCTCACTGTGTCTCACCATGTCTCCCCGTGTCTCACCATGTCTCACCGTGTCTCACCGTGTCTCCCCGTGTCTCACCGTGTCTCACCGTGTCTCACCGTGTCTCCCCGTGTCTCACTGTGTCTCACCATGTCTCCCCGTGTCTCACCGTGTCTCCCCGTGTCTCACCGTGTCTCACTGTGTCTCACTGTGTCTCACTGTGTCTCACCATGTCTCCCCGTGTCTCACCGTGTCTCCCCGTGTCTCACCGTGTCTCACTGTGTCTCACCATGTCTCCCCGTGTCTCCCCGTGTCTCACCGTGTCTCACTGTGTCTCACCATGTCTCCCCGTGTCTCACTGTGTCTCACCGTGTCTCACCGTGTCTCCCCGTGTCTCACCGTGTCTCACCGTGTCTCACCGTGTCTCCCCGTGTCTCACTGTGTCTCACCATGTCTCCCCGTGTCTCACCGTGTCTCCCCGTGTCTCACCGTGTCTCACTGTGTCTCACTGTGTCTCACTGTGTCTCACCGTGTCTCCCCGTGTCTCACCGTGTCTCCCCGTGTCTCCCCGTGTCTCACTGTGTCTCACCATGTCTCCCCGTGTCTCACCGTGTCTCACCGTGTCTCCCCGTGTCTCACCGTGTCTCACCGTGTCTCCCCGTGTCTCACCGTGTCTCACCGTGTCTCCCCGTGTCTCACCGTGTCTCACCGTGTCTCCCCGTGTCTCACCATGTCTCACCGTGTCTCACCGTGTCTCACCGTGTCTCATGTCTCCGTGTCTCCCCGTGTCTCACCGTGTCTCACCGTGTCTCCCCGTGTCTCCCCGTGTCTCACCGTGCCTCACCGTGTCTCATGTCTCCATGTCTCTCGCATGTCCCCCCGTGTCTCCCCGTGTCTAATTGTGTCCCCCCGTGTCCCCCCTTGTCCCCGTGTCTCCTGCATGTCCCCCCGTGTCTCCCCGTGTCTCACTGTGTCCACCCGTGTCCCCCTCGTCCCCCCGTGTCTCACCGTGTCTCACCGTCTCTCACCATGTCTCCCCGTGTCTCACTGTGTCCACTCATGTCTCCCCGTGTCTCCCCATGTCCCCGTGTCCCCTTGCCCCCCC